GCTCAGTACTCAAAAAGTTTGGGATGTATATTTTAATGGTATAATTTATAGCTAGACCTTGGATCTACATGGCACAGGCTTGTGATATCCATTTCTCACAGGAGACTTTTTTTCACATACACATACCTAGACCCCAGAATTATATGCCCAGCTACATCCTAGGCAAGGAACTGACAGACAGACAGTTATGTCATAAGTTCCTCAAAGTCAACTTGCCCAATTTGACCTCTTCCCAGAATAACTGTACTTCTGTGGAATTCCTTATTTCAGTGACTATCACAGAGCTGCAGTGAATGCTGTGTAAGAAATTCACTGCACAATGAATAAATGAAGGCTAAAATCCAGCTTGCACATGGCTCACCAAGTTGTGCATGCACAAGGGCTATGTCCACTTAAAGGTACATCTTGCTGTATTGTACACAATGCCACATGAGGTAGAGGCAGTCCTGGCAACAGCACCACCATCTATCCTGTTGCCACTTCTCCTTCCCCGGAATCTTTCTCCTACCTCCAGTCAAGTCAACCCAAAGTCTTACCAACTTTACCACCTGTTTAGCCCTCAAATACATGTCCTTTGTGCCACCTTCAATGTTAAATTGTCAGATCTGGCAAATAAAAATACAGAGCTCCCATTTAAACTTGAATTTTATATAAAAAACAAATAATTTTTAGTATAACTATACCCCACACATTCATTCTGTCTAACAGAATCCCAATTTTTACTTCGGCCCACACCATGCCCAGCCAAGAGAACACATTTCTAGGCAGAAGATCATACCCACACTCACACCTTCACTACTGGAAACTGGGTCCATTTGCTGCCTCCACAGCACATTAGGTAGAGGCAGACACATTTCCTCTGAAAACAAGGCATAGGGATGCTTCTGCTGCTTAATATAACATGAGGCTAATACCTTCATGTACACAAAGAATGTTTACTTTTCATGTCAGGAGTCTTACAAAGTTCAGATGTAGGAACCTCTATGTTGGCTCCCAAGTCAGTGTGGCCTCCTCTTTCCTGAGAGTGGGATCGGAAAGCTTTCCTGAGCTGCACAGTCCTTCATGGAGCTCCCCAACATTGGAAGGACACCAGCCATCTCAAATGGAAACCCAGGTCCTTTCTCACAGTCCACTGGGAACTAGGCCCATAGATGACCTTGCTCAGTCCTGTGTGGAGGTATTTATGTACCCAAGTACCCTCTTCTGAAACAAATACCTCTAGGCCAGAGGCTGGATCCTGAGGGGCTCCAACTCTAAAATACCTCAACAAGTGAAGTCCTAGAATGGTCCTTTTGAGTGCCGAATGCCTAAGAGAAGAAGAAAACAGACTAATCAAACTGAATACCTCATACTACAAATGTGGACAATTACTGACATCCCAAATATTCATAAATCCTTTCTAGAATTTTAGAATGTCTTAATATGTTGGTAACTCAGAGTGTAGAGACTGTAGAAACAGTCAGCTGTCTTCTAAGACTGATTAGCTGATTTAGACTTTGGTGCCACTAGCTGTATAACACAATGCTCCCTCATATCCACAGATACCACTTTTCATTTGTCCTAGGATCTGAAATTAGAACACCTATGTGCAAAGTTAGTTGTTATTCTAATGAATTTACTTATAAATAGCCATGTACAGGCTGTTTTGTTTTCAGTTACAGAAAGTAAGTTTATTTACCAAAGAACCAAAAGTAAGGTGAAAGAAATCTTCACATCTAACAGATTCAACCTCTCTGTAGCTGGAAAGAAGAGCTGGAATAGCTATAACCTGCACATATACTTCCCATATGGCCATTCTCTATCCTTTGTATCCCCAACATGCATAGGTACAACCATGTCCTGTCCAAAGTTGGTGGTGGAACTCTTTACCAGCTAGCTGTTGGGCTGCCATATGATAAGGCCTGGCCACTGAGATGTGCCCACAGAGAATGCTAAATCCAGTGAAAATTGCTCTGATTCCCAGGGAATGAAAATGTGGTCCTGCAATTTCAGAAGGTCAATAATTTAAAAATTACATCTACTCATGACATCTGTGGTCTGGAATTTAAAGAAAGAAAAAAAAAATCAGGCTGGGCATGGTAGCTCACACCTGTAATCCTAACACTTTGAGAGGCTGAGGCTGGAGGACTGCATGAGGTCAGGAGTTCAAGACCAGCCTAGGTAACATAGCAAGACCCTGCCTCTAGAAAAAAATAGAAAATTAGCTGGGCGTGGTGGTGTTCCCCTGTAGTCGCAGCTAATGGCGAGGCTGCGGCAGGAGGATCACTCAAGCCCAGGAGTTTGAGGTTGCTCTGGGCTACAGTAATTCCACTACACTCTAGCCTAGGTGACAGAGCAAGACCCTTTCACCAAAAACAAAAACAACAACAACAACAAAATCGTACCTACTCGGGTTTAGAGCAGCATTTAGGAATTACAGTATATACCTCTTTGAAACCTAGAGACCTGCAGCAAGCTTTTTGAAACAGTATTTTGATTGTTTTTCTTAATATCTTTACTGTGTAGGACTCGTCATTCCAAAACACCAGAGTACCTTCTGAGAGCAGTTTCCTATGCTATCTAGATAATCCTGTCAAGAAATTCCTGTAGAATTCTTTTTTGTTCTATATTATGCCCTCCATTATCTACAGTTGCAGGGGGACAATTAATTTTTTATATTTAAGTAACAGAAGGAAAAAAACTTTTCAGAGGTTAATGTGTTCCAGAAAATCTCTTGGTGATCTCTACTTTTTGCTTTTGAAAATCATTTGTTTGGTTTTTTTTTTTAAATCTTTTCTGGATTTGGAGGATGTTAACCCAAGGAGTGGTCAGGGAGAGGTGCTGGCTGGAAGCACCATGGTCTCTGCTGATTAGTCTGATGGCACCTATGAAGGTGGTGTGTGAATGTACTGTGCCCTAAATCTGCTTCATTCACTTTGGCTGTGCCCGGAGACAACAAATATTTGGATAAGGAAATAAATCTCACTCTGGTCATAGATGCTTTGAGTCTCAGCATCAGCTTCAATCTCCCTTTTTAATTTAAGGTTTTGGAGAGATTAGATCTGCAGCCCTTATTAGCCAAAATGCAGTCTCCCCAATGGAGAGGAGCTTGGCTATGAAAATGCAGAGTTTGTGTTACTGTATGGCCTGACAGTATAGGGTGGTTTTTCTTCCCACCTTTTCCTCCAAATGTTTGCTTCTTGTCTGATTGACAGGAAACCCTAAAACTTGTGATCAGTGGTCACTGAGCTGTCACTCTGCTTTGCTGTGGAGACAGGCAAAACTGAAGTAGAGAATGGAATTCTACATTAGTTACCTATTGTAGATCCAGCCTTCATGTTTTTCTGACATATCCCAAGTTCATATCAGAGAAAATTCCCAAAGTATTAATAAAAAGAGAATAGTTTCATCAAAAATAATGAAAGAGTGCCAGGCATGGTGACTCACACCTATAATCCTAGCACTCTGGGAGGCCGAAATAAGTGGATTGCTTGAGCTAACAAGTTCAAGACCAACCTGAACAAGAGCAAAACTCCATCTCTACTAAAATAGAAAAGCTAGCCAGGCATTGTCGTGTGCACCTGTAGTCCCAGTTACTCGAGAGGCTGAGGCAAGAGGATCACTTAAGCCCAAGAGTTTGAGGTTGCTATGAGCTAGGACACCATGGCATTCTACCCAGGGTGACTGAGTGGACACTCTGTCAAATAAAATAAAATAGATTACTATTATGATCTGAATGTCTGCATTTCCCCCCAAAATTCATATGTTGAAACCTAATCCCCAAAGTGATAGTATCGGGAGGTGATTAGGCCATGGAGGTGGAACACTCATGAATGGGATTAGTGCCCTTAACAGACCCCAGAGAGCTAGTTCACCCCTTCCACCATACAAGAACACAGTGAGAAGGTGCTATCTGTGAACTAGAAAGAGACTGAAAATCTGCTTGGACTTCAGCTTAACTGTGGATAATAAATTTCTGTTGTTTATAAACCACTCAGTTTATGGTATTTTGTCACAGCAGCCTGAATGTACTAAGATACTCACATAATATCTTTCTCAAATCATTGATTTGAGAAAACTAAATGTAATTCAACAAAACTGAATGTGGGATGTATATTAATAGTAATGTATGAATGTAAAATTCCCTGAACTTCATATTTGTTTTGTGGTTAGAGAATATCCTTGATCTTAGAAGATACATGAGGTATGTAGGTACATAGGTATAAAAGGTTATAAAGTCTACCACTTACTCCCAAATAGTTGAGCAAATTATATAATAATGTAATAACATGTGAAAGGGAAAATGTTAACAATTGTAGAATCTAGGTGAATAACGTGCAGGTGTTTGTTGTAAGAGTCTTGCAACAATATAAAATTTTTAAAAGGAAAAGCATGATGCTTTCTCATTAGCATCAGACATTTGATTTAGAAAAGTCACACTGTCAAAAACCATCAACTGGAAGAGGCTTGTCAGATTGTAGTCAGTGCATGCTTTATGGGCCTATTGCTACTCAGAATTGTCTGGGAAAGTCCAAAGTGCCTATGGATTAAATGTTGTGTTCCATGAAAGGGCTAACAGTTCTCAGCCAGCATGCTTGACTCTTGATACATGGCCACACCAACTGCCCAAAGGACCGCCTTAGGGTAAAAGACACATGCACCCTGGGAGAGGCTTTGCCTGGTCTCCTTTTCACTGTGAAGCCTCTCAAAAGTCTGTTCTTCTGGCTCGGCACCTGTAGTTCAGTGAGTAGGGCGCTGGCCACAGACACCAAAGCTAGTGGATTTGAGCCCAGCCTGGGCCTGCTAAACAACAATGACAACTGCAACCAAAAATAGCCAGGCATTGTGGTGGGCACCTGTAGTCCCAGCTACTTGGGAGGCTGAGGCAAAAGAATCACTTGAACCCAAGAGTTGGAAGTTGCTGTGAGCTGTGATGCCACGGTACTCTACCAAGGGTGACATGGTAAGACTCTGTCTCAAAAAAAAAAAAAAAAGTCTGTTCTTCTAGACTTTTCCAGTTTTTATGCTATTTTTTGAAGGTTCTTCAACCCACCATAAGGGAATAAACTCCGTATTAAGGGCACTGCTGGAACCCAATCGTCAAGCTCTTCAACTTCTCTTATCTCATTCATCAAATTGTTGGCCTTCTCTTTCACCCAGAAAGGCAAGCTGTAGGAAGAAGACAACAGCCTGAGTTGAAGTTTGATGCAAAATTTACAAACACTGTTAGTGGATAGGGTCTACATCAAAAGTGAAAAGACCTCTGATATAGGAGATCGGCTTTAAAATAAAATATGTTAGTTATTCACCATTTGCCCCTACCTCAAACCCAGCTCTGTTTTCAGTCCTCTTCCACCTAACCTCGCAGCTGGCATCATCTTGGCTCTCCTGTGTTCCTACCTTTGAGGTGGACTTGCCCAAGGGAGGCATCATGAGGAGATCAAAAGGTGGGAAGAGAGAGGTTGGGCTATTTCTCACCTAGCTCCTCCCCTCCCACCCTATCTCCCCAGACACCACAGTTCCGGCAGAGACTCTATTCGGCAATGCCACAACTTGTGCTGGGCAGCGCTTCTTCCAGGGCTCCAGCTTCCACTGCTCCACAAACCATGATCCCTCTTCCCCCTGCTCAGACCTTGGAGCAGTAGAGCTTTCCACTGTCATGAGACTCTGGCATGTGGATTCCCCCAACCCTGCCCCGCACCCATAAATAGTCCCTTCCATTAACCTGTCTTCAGAATCCTAGCTCAGTGTGCTTTCTGTGTGAGACACTGCACCTGCCCCAAAGGTAGCACTGGTGTGCTATGAGAGGATTTTAGGTGTGCTGTGAAATTTTTTAAAGACCATTAATTAAATTATTTTTGGAAATATCCAAAGCACAGTAAGTATATTCTTTTTTTTTTACTCTTTTTTTTTTTGATCAACATAATTTAAATGTGCTACAGAAGTTTGACCATAGGTTCAAGTGTGCCACAAGATAAAAAATAGGTTGAAAAGCACTGATCTAGACACTTTAACACAGCAACTGTCAGTCCAAGTTAGACCAAAATAACTAAGGAAATATGGGGACTAAACAATACAGCCCAGTGGGCATGATGGCTTATACCTGCAATTCTAACAATTTTGGCAGCTGAGGCAGGAGGATCACTTAAGCTCAGGAGCTCAAGCCCAAGAACTTGTCCAGGTTGGTTGTGACAAGGATAAATGGTGAATCCTTGTCACTTAAAAATTAGCTGGGCACAAAAAATAGCTGAGAGTTGTGATGAGCACTTGTAGTCCCAGCTACTTTGGAGGCTGAGGCAAGAGAATCACTTAAGCCCAAGAGTTTGAGGTTGCTGTGAGCTGCGATGCTACTGCACTCTACAGAGGGTGACATAGTGATACACTGTCTCAAAAAAATAAAAATAAAATAAATAAATTAGTTGGGCACAATGGCATGCACCTGTAGTCCTAGTTCCTTAGGAGACTGAGCAGGAGGATCACTTGAGCCCAGGAATTCAAGGTGGTTGTAGTGAGTAGGATTGTACAACTACACTCCAGTCTGAGCTGTAGAGTGAGACTTTGTCTCAAAAAAGAAAACAAACAACCAAAAAAAAAAAAAAAACAACAAATAAGGTCAATCTCCTGGTCTGTTCCTAACTTTGCATCCTTATTAAATAGAATAAACTGTTAGGTACATATGGAAATATCTCCTTAATTAAAGACAGCTGCCCTGCATTGATGGTAAGATACGTCCTCATCAAAGTTGTTAAAATGTATAAAAATAAATGTTAACTGTCCTAGTAAAGATGCACACCATCACATTTTTCTGTGGAGGACACATTAGCTGTAATGGCCTGCCTCTGTTCTTTGCTGGCAGACTTACCTACCATCTAGGACCCAAATTAAATATCACCTCCTCTACAACATATTTCCAACTTCCCTACATGTGTATGTCCTTTCCGTGTACACTGTACCATATTTGCTTTTTCAAGTGTTTTATGTCAACTCTGTCCCCCATTAGACAATGAGCCCTGAAACAAGAATTGTATCTTAGTCATCTTTGTGACCCCTGTCTCCATTACCTCACCTCTTTACCACTTCCGTAGGCCAAGTGCATAAGTGGTGCTCTATGAACATGAAGAGTTGATTAAATAATCCTTGTAGACAAGTTATGAACTATAGGTATCTGTTCAATAAGTAATTTCATCTCCCTAATGTTGATTCTAATTCTCACTGTGCCACTAGCTAGCTAGGAAAGACTTACGCAAGTCATATAAAACATCTGGTCATTAGGTTTTATCCCTATCTTTATTTATTTTTGAGATAGGATCTCTCTGCTATCCTTGCTAGAGTGCAGAGGCATTATCATAGCTCACTGCAACCTCAAACTGCTGGGCTCAGTGATCTTCTTGACTCAGCTTCCCAAGTAGCTGGGACACAGGCACATGCCACCACATCTGGCTAATTTTTCTACTTTTGGAAACCAGCCATCCTCCCACCTCATCCTCCCAAAGTGCTAGGATTATAGGTATCCTTACCTTAAAGTTGGATTGTTGCATTTGCAAATACAAATTAAACATTTTAAATTTAATTTAAATAAAATGTTAATTTAATAAAAATTAACATTTTTAAATTTCCAAGTACAATTAGTACAATATTTAAAGATGTGAATAACTTTGGTGAGAGTAATGTAATTGTACAAAACTGATTCATTAGATAACTTGGAAAGAAAAAAACACAATTGTTATTCAAGGGAACAAGGAGTCTTATTCCCAGTCATAGCAAAGTAGCAGGGATCATAGTTACTCTCTTGACTTAAACAACTATAAAACTGGACCAAATGTATGAAGCAGCTGCTTTCAGACATGAGATAACAGAAACAGCATGGGATTGTGATATTGGAGAAGGGGAAAACAAATGAGGAGAGCCCTGTCGTCACCCAGATTTTGCCTATAGGCACATTCAAGACCACAGAGTAGGGACAATAATCCCAAACAGAGCCTGGTGTTCTCTTTTAGTCTGAGGAGCCAGATCAGAGTTCAGAGAGTCTCAGAGGGCTAGAAGCTGCAAGACGGAGTTCTCAAGAAGGGATTAACGAGATGGGATTCACAGCAAATTAGACACTGCAGAAGAAAATAACAAGCTTCAGAAATGTGCATAGCACCCCCTTTGAATCTTTGCTAAATATTAAGGCATACGTGTGTAGGCTAGACCTCCACAAGACTGGACAACAGAGTTGCTGAAAAGTTGTGAACTGAATAGTGCCCAGGGTTTGCAAAGATCTAAAAATCATTTGAGTTCCAAAAGTGACCAATCAAGGCATAGTAGAGCCCCTAAAAGGGCTATACCTTACTTAGGAGTGGGGTTACACCACCCCTAAAGTAAAGGCTACTTTAGACATACCCTAGTGAAACTTGAAAACCTCAGAAGTATCCATGGAACTGCAGGTGACTTAACTACCTATTAAAGCAAAGCCCGACACTCTTTAAAAGAATACAACAAAATCCAGGCACTCATAAAATTATAATGTCCAGTATCCATACAAAAATTGTTAGACATGCCAAGAAGCAGGAAAGTAAACAAGAGAAAAATCAGTCACTAGAAACACCCAGAAATGACAAAGATCATAGAGTTAGCAAACAAAAATGTTAAAACAACTATTATAACTATGTTCAAGTATTTATGGAAAAATAAAAATAGTAAAGAAGGAAATGAGTGATGTAAGAGAAGAATCAAATTGAATTTCTAAAGATTAAAGGTACAATAGTCACTAGATGTGATTAGTAGCAAATTAGACACTGCAGAAGGAAATAGTGAATCTGGGAAACAATAAATAGTAAATTCAACAACATAAACTGAACCTGGAACCTCTGTTTCTCCTGCCCTGACTAACTGGTTAGTAGACTTTTCTATCAGGGTGACTATTCCCTGAGCAAAAGGTTCAAGTCTCCTATTTCTCTTATTGGCCACAAAAGCATATGCTGATGTACAATACTTTGTTCTTTCGAAAAAACACTTACCTTTTTTCTTTAGGAAAATCAGACTCATAGGTATTTTATGATTTATACGTGTAAAAACATATTTGCATATGAGTGGAAATGTACAAAAGCTAAAATAGTTGGGTAGGGTGATGTGATTTAGGCAATTGCTATTATTTTGAATATTCTCCAACAGTGTTTATAAAAAATGTAACGTACGGATATGAGAACCCCTAATTGTGTGCCGTAAGATCTCAAGTTTGGAATAATTTTTTTTTTTTTTGAGACAGAGTCTCACTTTGCCACCTTCAGTAGAGTGCCATGGTGTAATAGCGCAGGCTTGTCTCAGCCTCCTGAGTAGCTGGGACTACAGACACCCACCATAATGCCTGGCTATTTTTAGAGATAGGGTCTTGCTCTTGCTCAGGATGGTCTTGAACCTGTGAGCTCATGCAATTCATCGGCCTCAGCATCCCAGAGAGCTGGGATTACAGGCATGAGCCACCGCGTCCAGTGGAATAAAATGCTTTTATTCCAATTGAGCTTCCCAGTGGATCAGGCTCTAGGATACTTTCCTACTCTATCCATACTTAAATGAGACTCTTTTGAATTAGAAAAGAAGGCAGCACCCCGTAGCTCAGTGGGTAGGGCACTGGCCACATATACCCAAGCCGGCAAGTTTGAACCTGGCCCAGGCCAGCTAAACAACAATGACAACTGCAACAAAAAAATAGCTGGGCGTTGTGGTGGGCACCTGTAGTCCCAGCTACTTAGGAGGCTGAGGCAAGAGAATTGCTTGCCCAAGAGTTTGAGGTTGCTGTGAGCTGTGACAGCACAGCACTTAACCAAGGGCGACATAGTGAGACTCTGTTTCAAAAAAAAAAAAAAAAAGAGAAAGAAAGAAAAGAAAAATAACTCTTTCTATGTCAGAAATCTACTTAGGTAAATAAATGAGGTTTGGATGAAGCAGAGAAAAAGTACAGGAATGACACCCCCTCAAATACAAGAGTGCTCTATTGGCTTTCTCTCTGGCTCTTGAAACTGACCATTCTCTCTGGCTTCAATCATCTCAGTATGTGTCTTTCTTTTCTAATAAATTCATGTTCTGAGAAGCCAAAGTCCTGTCTTTTTGCTCCATGTAAACCCTCCTCTACTGCATACCTAACATGACACATGACATCTGGTATATGTTATTCACATCTGTTGAAGATGTGATCATCCCAACTGCTGACTCCACAGACACTTGACCTCCACGAGTCTTTCCATGTACCTTCCTTACAAACTGCCCTGCTCTCCTGTAGAGATTCAAAAAGGTCCTATGTGTTAGTTGTCTATAGGCTCCTCCATAGGAGAAATAATAAATAATTAATATTTCATGAAGACGGGATAATATAAAACACGATAAGAGAACTCACATGGGAATTTGTGGAAGAGGTTCAAGTGGAATAAATGTATCAAATTTCTTTTTATAAGGCACTCTGAAAAACAGAAAAGGCAACGTTAAAATTGGTATGGCATCTAGAACAGGGATCAATATATCACTGTGTTCAATAGAATTTCTTCTTTTCTGAGATTTAATTTTCAAATAAGGGCTTCAAAGCTGTAAGGACCATAATTTGTATTATTTTTATAATTTTTAATCAACATCGCTATATCCCAAATGGCTAGTTATTCAAAATCATATTTGAAATGTAACATACCAACTATGTTTCCCTTAATTTAATTATCCTCTTATTTTTCTCAAGCATTTTGGTCTAAGTATAGTTAGTTCCACATTTAGGTCAAGTCATGTAGTAATCACTAACCAATAATCTGATTTGGTAAGAAAATTCAAATTTATGAAAATATAAACAGGAACAAAATTAACAACCACTGTTTTTGCAGTCAAGGTTCTGTGTATAATTTCAATTATACACACACATATGTGCATACACTAATTAACTAAAGATGAGCTTTTAAAGAAATTTTCATACAAGCATAATTTGTGATCTACTCCTTTTAAAATATAATTTATATGTAGTACAGAAAGACATAATTCCTCTAAAGTTAACTAAATAATTCTAGGATTAACATACACTTACAAGGAAAAATTCACTGGTGGGAGAGTTGATCCTGCTTTGTAGAAGCCTTCACTCTGTTCTGGGTACATATATGGATTATCCCCCGGAGTTAACTTTGGGATTCCATTCCTGGGATCAATATCTGTGTAAAGTGTTTGAGACAGAATCATGCAATGGGCTGAATATGATCCACCGATTTGTTATATCAATGGAAGTAGAATATTTTAGTGTTTTATTAGTAAGTTACATAGAGGTTTCTGAAAGTTCTGTTTGTGATTACCTTGCTTTAGGTGATGAAGATAAAAATGGGAGCCTATATATAGGACATTTTCCAAAAGAAGTTGCTATCATTACCTTTCACCAGGGTAGAATTATTAGGTTCATAGGGAATGTTTTGACTTAAAACATACAGTGAATCAGAGGTATCTTTGCAATAATCTAAGGAACTCTGACTTAAAATCTTTTCATTCCTGAACATTAGTGCTCTTGAGTCTCTGAGTCCTAGAAAGTGAGTACAGTTGAATGAAGTTGCTTAAGAAGCAATTGCACTTGGGGTCCTGCCTCTCTACTTGATCTCAGCAGGAAATCAGCTAATGAGTGTCCTGTTTCTCTTTCTGCTTCAAGGATTAAGGCTGTGCAACACAGCAGGTGGCTTCTCAGTGAAAAGGAAAGTCAGATCTGCTAAGCATACCCTGCTTACTCAGCTGAGGCACTGACACCCAGCTCAGCTCCTTCTAAAGCCCTGTGAACAGGAAACTAATCATGGAAGCAGGAGAGGAGTCAGCCTGGTACAGGATGGTCATTTCAACCCACACACTTAACACCTAAGAGAACAACCACGGGAAAAAAAAGAGAGAGAGAGAGAACAACCATGGACTAAGGACACTCCTTTGCCATACACCTTTTCTTTCTTTCTCTCTCTCTTCCCTGTCCCCCCCCCCACCATTACTTCATTCAACTGTACCCACAAGATGTAAGCTAAAGGAAAACCTAGGGGAAATTTTTGATAAGCTGTATCCTACCTATCCACATTTTTCTAGCTAACTCAGAAAAGCCATCTGCACCATAGGTAGGAGCCTTGAGTTTCAAGAGTATTTAATTGTTTACTTTTCCCTTTCAAAACCTTCTCAATAGCTAAGACTCTGTATTAACTTGACATTAGCTCTTTTCTTTCCTTAAGAAAATAGGATCAACTACACCCATGCATTTGAGTGCCTGCTGTCATGAGGTGCTAAGGATTCAATCCAAGGAGAGTGGAGGGACCACATCCTTTGAACCCCCAACCACAGCATTGACAAATAAGAGTTAGGTGACTGCAGGAAGTGATGAGATGAGTTTGTACTTTGGAGTCAGTCACAGCTGAGTTCAAATTCAATTCTGCAATTTCTAGTTCTTGCCCTTGAGCTATTTATTTACCTCCCTAAGCCTTAGAAACCTCATTTATAAACTGTTTATTTCAAATGGCTTCCATGCAGAGTTATTGTGTTTACTAAATGAGGATGGAGGCCAAGATGGCAAACTAGATGCCCCCTGCACAGCACTGCTCTTACAGAGAGGACTGAAAATGATGAGTAGACACCCACTGTTTGGATGGATCATGAGAGTGAGAGCACTGGCAACCCACAGAGAGGAGATGGAAGTGAAGTGAAGAAGACAGAAGGGCTCCTTGGAGGCGAGCTATTCTGGAGAGCTGCTGGATCCACCGTGAAGTCTACCAGAGAAAGAAGCAAACTTCAATGTTAAGCTGCTGAGATCTCAGGGATTCCTTGTTACTGCAGCAGAATACAGTATATCCTATCCTGACTAATACAGTATGTTATACCGTAGGAAGAGCTACACAAAGGGAAAAAATTGTATTTTCAAGTCTATTTCCCTACAACCTATAACCACAGACAGCATTTTGTTCTTTCTTCTCTGAAAGCAATTAGGCCTTTAGGGAATTCCACCAAAGGCTTGACTATAGCTAATGGGTTAGAGTCAACTAGTATTCAAAAACAAATATATATATACGTATACTTTTTTTTTTTTTTTTTGAGACAGAGTTTCAAGCTGTCTCCCTGGGTAGAATGCTGTGGCATCACAGCTCACAGCAACCTCAAACTCTTGGGCTTAAGCGAGTCTCTTGCCTCAGCCTCCCAAGTAGCTGGGACTACAGGTGCCCGTCACAACACCTGGCTATTTTTTATTTTATTTTTTTGCAGTGTCATTGCTGTTTTAGCTGGCCTGGGGCTGGTTTGAAGCCACTAGCCTTGGTGTGTGTGGCCAGCACCCTACCCACTGAGCTACAGGTGCTGCCTGATTGTGTTTTTTTCTAAATTAAATATATTGGCTTGGCACCTATGGCTCAAGTGACTAAGGCACCAGTTACATACACCTAAGGTGGCGGGTTCGAATCCAGCCCGGGCCCGCCAAACAATAATGACGGCTGCAACCAAAAAATAGCCAGTCGTTGTTGTGGGCTCCTGTGGTCCCAGCTACTTAGGAGGCTGAGGCAGGAGACTCACTTGAGCCCAGGAGTTGGAGGTTGGTGTGAGCTGTGATGCCATGGCACTCTACCCAGGGGGACAGCTTGAGGCTCTGTCTCAAAAAAATAAAATAAAATAAAATAAATATATTGCATTCTAATTCATTAGAATGGTAGCTCCTGGCAATCCCTGATCCTGCTTCATTATCTTATCCAGGAAATAAACGGCAGGAGAGAATGTCACAAAAGAAGAAATGTCCTGAGTCAAGCTTAATAGTGTCAAGTGCTGCAATGAGATCAAGGAGGAGAAGAAATGGGAAAAAACCATTGTATTTGCTGTTTAAGAAGTCATTATATGACATCGCCTACGAAGTAATTGTGCCATAATGAATCAAGCCTGTAGATACAACTACCAGTTTGCAGAAAAGATGTAGGAAAGAGAAACCTGTTAAACGGCACCAAGAGATGTAATCAGGAAAATCCTGATTGTGATAAATGCTACAGGACAAATGACCTAGTTTTTTTCAACAAATAAATTGCAAGAAAAAAAGGAGGGGAGGACCTATATATTAAAAAAGACTTAAGAGGCATGCCAATCCCATTACTATGTATCTACCCAGAAGAAAAAAAAATCATTTTACCATAAGGACTTCTGCACTAGAATGTTCATTGTAGCTCAATTCACAATCACCAAGATGTGGAAACAACCCAAGTGCCCGTCAAAGCACAAATGGATAAACTATGGTGTATATATACCATATATATGTACACACACACAAACACACACACACACACACACCACGGAATACTATGCAGCATTAAAAAGATGGAGACTTTACATCTTATTTACCTGGATGGAATTAAAGAATTTTCTCCTTAGTAAAGTATTTCAAGAATGGAAAAGAGGGCGGCACCTGTGGCTCAGTGGGTAGGGTGCTGGCCTCATATACCAAGGGTATTGGTAGCAGGTTTGAACCTAGCCCCAGCCAAACTGCAACAAAAAATAGCCAGGTGTTGTGGTGGGGGCCTGTAGTCCCAGCTACTCAGGAGGCTAAGGCAAGAGAATCACCTAAGCCCAGGAGTTAGAGGTTGCTGTGAGCTGTGATGCCATGGCACTCTACCAAGGGAGATAAAGTGAGACCCTGTCTCTAAAAAAAAAAGAATGGAAAAGCAAGCACCCTTTGTATTCAATACTAACTTGAAACTAGCAGATGAACAACTACAAGCTCACAAGAGAGAAAAACACAATTAAAGAAAGGGGGGGAGGAAGAAGGAAATCAGGGAGAAGGAAGAGAGGGGGGCTTGGTGAGCTCTCACCTAACAGGCACAATGTAGGGGTATATGGCACACCTCCTGAGTGAAGGACTCAACTACAACTTGGACTTTACCTGACAAACACCAACAATGTAACCTAATTGTACATACCCTTATATTAATCTGAAAGTTTTGAAAAAAGGCACGGTAACCAATTTCAAAGTGGGAGCCTTATTCGGATCCTGGTTTAAACAGACTAATTACTCTTTTATTTTTTTTTCAAAACTTTTAAACAAATTTTATTTAACTTTTATCTTTACATTGATCATGTATATATGGGGTATGCTCTACACTCTCAGAATTTACTTCAAATAAAATAATAAAGTTGTTCTGTGGGATCCTGTCTCTAGAGGAATTAGAAACATTTCTAGGTATGTCATTATCTCCTATTTTATTTTTTTGTCTGAAAATCTATCTCTGTGCTCTTAAGAAATCAATTTCTTGTCACATGAAAGACTTTGTCTCTTCAACACGGCAAATAAATCATGAACCATTAATTCTTGATTTTCATTGCAGTACTCAGCAATCAGACTAATATTCTTAAATTAGAGCATTTTTCAGACAATTGGATACTTGAGCACTGAATATTTTATGATACTAAGAAGTTTCTTGTTAATTTTTTAAGATACGACATTGTGATACAGAATTATAGTTATGTTAATAAAAATAACATATCTATTATAAAAAATTCTTATCTGTTGGAGGTACTATGATATATTTACAGATAAAATTATATGATGTCTGGAATTTGCTTTAAAATAATCCCTGGGGGAAAGGTAAAGATGAAACAAGATTAGCCATGTGTTGATCATTATTGAAGCTAAGTGGAAGAGTCTATTGGATTTTATTATGCTATTCCCTCTACTTTGGCACACATTTGAAAATTTACCTAAAAATGTTTTTTGGTGCCCTCAGTAGAGTGCCATGGCAACACAGCTCACAGAAACCTCAAACTCTTGGGCTTAAGTGATTCTCTTGCCTCAGCCTCCCAAGTAGCTGGGACTCAGGCACCTGCCACAATGCCCAGCAATTTTTTTTAGAGATGAGGTCTCTCTCTGGCTCATGCTGGTCTTGAACCTGTGAGCTCAGGCAATCCACCTGCCTTGGCCTCCTAGAGGCTAGATTATAGGCATAAGTCACCATGCCTGGCCAAGGTTCTCTTGTTTTCTTTTTTTCTTGTTCTTTTTTTTTCTTTCTTTCTTTTTTGAGACAGAGTCTCAAGCTGTCACCCTGGGTAGAGTGCTGTAGTGTCACAGCTCACAGCAACCTCAAACTTTTGGGCTTAAGTATTTCTCTTACCTCAGCCTCCCAAGTAGCTGGGACTACAGGTGCCAGCCACAACACCCAGCTATTTTTTGGTTGCAGCTGTCATTGTTGTTTGGCGGGCCTGGGCTGGATTTGAACCCACCAGCTTAGGTGTATGTGGCTGGCGCCTTAGCCACTTGAGCCACAAGCGGTGAGCTTTCTTTCTTTCTTTTTTTTTTTTTTTT